AATTAGTCTTTATGATAAAAAAAACTTTGGAAATGTATTTTGTTCATTACTTTGAAAATTTTATGCTGACATCTACAAAAATGTGCATTTGATTCCAGTAATCATAATGCACATGTATTTCCAAAGGTTTATATAGTGTACATGTATGGAAAGAAGTCAATGCCCCTTCAGCTTTTCTTTTTAGAATGTAAAAAATGCTCTTCGTTTACATAATGTACATGTTTCAGCAGAAAATTGACAATTTTATGAGAGCTATAAACTACAAGTGTAATGAACTCAGTATCCACTCAGTGTCAGGTTTATGTCCGCTGAAGCATTCCAAAGTGGTTTATCTTTTCATTTTTAACACATGCTTTGTTTATCAACATGAAGATAAGAGTGTTTGAAGATCGTGCATCTGATATTGTATCAACTCCCAACTATTGCAGTGCATCTATTTTTTGCCCCATTATTTGTTATTTAATTTCAAAAAATTGTTGAATTGCAAAGTCAAATTTCCATCCCTTGCTCACGACCTGATCTAAATGCCAACTGGAAAGGTAACTTCCAGTCCCTGGAGAATAACAAATAAATCTTGAAATTGCAAAAGCCTCTACTGTGCCTCTATATCTCTTCCCACTTTCCATCCTCCTACATACTTTGTACCCACATCAAATCAAAAGGGAGAAAGTCTCTGCTAGTAAACCAGCAGTGTCAATGAAAGGACCTCTTTAATAGCCATAAACGAAATTCAACTCTCGAATTGCCGCTGCAACGCACTCTTGAAAAACACTGAGGGCTCCATTCACCAACAAGTCATCAAGTGTAAACAGATCTTCCCAGATATGCCCTGGACATCTCCGGAAAAAGAAATTGTGGGTTGGGGGGGGGGGGGTGGAGGGACTGAATGGCAAGACGTCAACTGATGAATCTATAGCAGCTTGCAGAGTAAAATTTCTGCATCCTTCAGTGAACTGTTTCTTAGTCTTTCTTTGTTTGGAACCCTGTGCGGAATTGATATAGAATCACGTTCTGTAAACCAACCCTTGATGACTACGCAGATTTTCTTTTCTTGTCTTCAGTTGGCGTAATAAATCCGCAACATCATGACATTTAGATGGCCCAACAAAAAAATGCCTTTTTTCTTCCCCCTTCCCCCCCCCCCCCCTCTTTTTCATAATTGATGGAAGGAACAGAGCACTGATTAAATAATAATGGGAGTGCTGTGTTTAATCAAGCCGATGACGTGAAGTTCCGTCGGTCAGCGTGTGAAGTGACCGCTGTGATAATCAAACTCGATGCACATGTGTGTACATACGTGGAAGTATCGGTCAATAATTGGGACCAAGCAGCTTGCGTCATTGTCGTCGCAACCTGTAAATCTACACGCTGACTGCAACAAAATGTGAACTACATCACAGCGTGTGTCGGTGAACACAAATAAATCGCTCCTTTTTGTCAAAATAATGTTTACTACAAGAAATTAAATTTTAAACTAATAAAAGCATGTTTTATTACTTCCTGCCTTGTCAAGGGAAGGAAGATAGCAACACACCGTATGTGCATGTCTAATTATTTAATTAATTAATGATTTGAAAATGTAACTTTTCTTTTAGTGCCTATAATCACATGTTCATGCAAGGAATGCAAGTTCCCTCATTTTCATACCGATCATCAACATTTCATTTATTTCTGAAAACATTCAAGAAATAACAAATACAGAATCAGTTTGACCCACTTTCGGAATCTAAAGTTCGGGCTGTCTTTCGATCTGGATCGATTGGTACCCTTGCATGTTTGCACTGCTACGCTATGGCACGGTTGGCCGCTCTTTATTTGCAGGTTTCGTCTTTGTTTAAAGTGTCCATGTAATGTATTTTTTATAATTCAATACTTGGAAATGCACCTTTGTGTTACATTTAACCCAATTTTCAATTTTTGTTCTGCCATTTTCAAGGGTATTTTGGTCCCATCTTTGCTTTTTATTCTAATGCAAATTACCATATTCATGAGCAAACGTGTGATGTCATTTCAGGCAGAAACCTTGATGCTATTGCTATAGCTATAGCACCAACATTTTGGATATTTCTCTGTCATAATTTTCTTTTGATTTGTTGTTTGGTCCATACTTGGCAGTAAACCAATGAGCAAACTTTTCTCACAAACATTTGTAATAAGCAAAGTTTTGGGTCACGATTTGAACAGAAAACCCCTGAACTGAACAGTGTCTTCCTAAAATGACAATCTAAAATGACATCACAGCATCAGCGCCCTCAGCTGTCTGGAAAAGTACCGTATGGAAAATTGTAAATGTTTAAAGAAGTGCACTTTTCAATAAGATTAACCAAACAGGGATGTCAAATAATTTTCATACGTTTAAGAGGAGCAGAAAGTTGCAAAAAAATATGTTCCTAAGAAAAGTCACTTCAATGAGCAAACCACACAAACACTGCTGAAGTGTATCAGGAGTCGTCTTCACAATACACCGGTACGTACCGGTACTTGTATTATTGACGTCATTTGAGCCAGCTTCATCAACTAATCAACTCTAGACCCAAGGAATACAAGCTGTGAATGTACTAATATTAGTCAACAATCTCCATGCCAACACCTTGACAGATGTCTAATCAAATACAGTCATCAAGCCACAAAAATCATGGTTACATCACAATGAATGTATGCCGCAAAACTCTGTCACACTGTGCTTACATGACTTAAATTTATGACTATGCAAACCAGAAACCACAGTGCGCTCTCTCCCTCAAATGGAGTTACTTTCACCTGGGCTGATCAATGGTTCTGTTTACAAGTACCCACCACGCCTAACGATTGGACGTTATCAGCAAGACACCATTAAGTAAATACAGAAATGGAAAAGAGTTTGACAAATGACCAAGACGACCCACAAAAAATAGTCCATTCCTGTGTTTTGAAAATGCCCGCCAGCAGTTCACTGCAAAGTCTGCTCTGCGGTGAATAATTCAGGCTATTAATAAAATCCAAATATATGCTGAATGTCTTTTTCTGGTAATTATTGACCAAATTCCCCCCCCCCCCTTCCGTTTATTCATAAATGGGCTTTCTTGTCTTTTGATGTGATTTCTTTTTGAGGGTTTAGAGTTACATGTATTGGCTCCTTTGTATGCAGCTCTGGTTCATCAGGATATATGTGCTTTTTGACCTTAATTGAAATTTAGGATGCTGCTTGAGAAACAGGAAATCACAAAATGGAAAAGGTTTCATTAAGAATTCAAGGTAAGATGAATAGAGCTATACTACCGCTATATAACGATTGAGGCTTTTCACTGTTATTTTAGACCTTAGATACTTTGCAATTAGATTGACCTTAAAATTAAAAACTTGATCAAATGCCTCACAGTGCAAACAAGTCTTTCCATTACAATGAATAATTTAGGAATAGAGTGACCCATTGCGTATCGACCATGGACAAAACAGAGAACAGATCCAGATGGAGTGGAAAATGCAAAACTTGTTTTTCAGTACTGTTGACCTTGCTGAGTAGTCTGGTTGCCAGAGATAGCGGTCATTGTATCTCATGAATGTAGTTAAGGTGCCAGTCTTGTCACATCACGCAATTTTGGCATCTTCACACTGGCGCATCTGTTCCGCGGGCTTAAGTGGTGAGTGTAATTAGCCAATATATGTGAGAATCTTCTCACAATGCGGCAACGAGCGAGGCCCAAGTGGCTTGACACACAACTGCTTTGGGACTTAACGACGTGTCAACGGGATATTGTGAGTTACGATGAGTGATTGTGAAAAAAAAAGCAAAAACATAGCGCCTTTGAGTAATCAGAGATTGCCGACACTATTCCATACTGCCATGCTTGGCTTACGGAGGATGAAATAGCACCTTGCATACATTTCTTAGCATCTGTCAATTATTCCCATCCGGAGAAACGCTTGAGAAATTATAAACAAAGTCTTTCTTACACTACATTGCTGCACAATCCTGTTTTCTGTTCCATGCTAGCGAGTCTTGACTTTGACACGGGATTCGTTCGCTATCATAAATATTGCATGACGATAATACAAACACTCTGTGAAATCCAACTTTGAATACTGCTAAAAATATTCCCGCTGGATTGTTAAAACAAACAATGTACATGTACCGGTAAGTGAATCGATTAAAAGGCCAGAGATGTATATACACTGAGTGTTGTATCCTAAACCTATTATGGACACTGACTAAAAGCCCACTTTCTTTTACAAAAGTCCCTTTTCCACGCTGCTCTCTGTTGACATTACCAACATAATATACGTGTACAGGTACCACAGCCCTATTTTTATTACCAAAAAAATCAATGCAAGAAATCCATTGCATGTTGTCAAGGCATTCTGGGAAAAAAAAGGTATTTGTACAGTATGTCTGTAGCCTAACATTATGTGTACACAATAGTCTCCTCTGCTTTATATGTAAACATGTCAAACAGAAAAAGAAATTACTTTATTCATTAATTTTGAGCCAGCCATGCTACATATATGGCTTGAATGAATGGTAACTCAGCAAACATCCTTTTCCAAGCTCCGTGGTATCACGAACTACAAAAAAATCCACGTACATGTGGGCCCTCCTTCTGACAGGCAAGCTCATGGAACCCACAGCGTTTCTCCTGAAGCTCACAAGAGGGCAGCAGAGCAAAAGAATGATACCTCACAACCGTACCTGCAAATTGGCTCAAAGTGACCAGACGATGGCGCTATGCCATCCTGACTGTGCTTTGCTGAGCTGATCAGTCAGAAAACAGTTCTACTGTACTGTTTCCCACAAGTCTCAGGAAAACATTCTCTCCTGTTTCTTGTATGAAACAATGGGAGACTTTTAAGATGTTGGTGGCAGCAAAAAAACCCCAGTCCTTTTCAATTGTTAATGTCATGTTTAAGCTAAAGCGCGCATGCTCAATATGACGCAAACACACTGATTCTTTTTTCCACAATAGTGGAAAAAAGAATCAGTGTGTTTGCTGCCACCAAGGTCTCACAAGTCTCCCATTGTTGTTTGCAGATTTAATTTTTTATTTTTCCTTGTGGGGATTTTGTTCTTGATTGATCCTCATCTTCCCAAAATGGGCACATTCAGGCAAATAAGATAAATCACCTGTTTCCTGCTTGTTGTGATTGGGGAAATTGACAACATTGATACATACCCTGATGGGTGCCTTGCTAAATGTGAGTTTTCTCTTCTTCCTATGTATAACGTCTTCGTCATCTGTGTCTGAGAGGGCAGACAGCTCAGCGATGTGCCTCTGTACAAAGAGCGTGAAACAAATAATGTGGACTTGGGTTACAATGTGTTAGAAATACACCTGTTTCTTGTTTTTGGTGCTAAAATTCAGAGCAGAAATCAACTACATTAAAAAATGTTTGACCCCATTAACGCAGCACATGCACATGATTACACATGATTCTGTGACCTCAAACAAGAGAGAAATCAAAGAAACTGAGATCAAACTGTGCATGTTAAACAAAAATACATTTAATGTAAGCAGAATGATATAACATGAGCTCGGCACACACTTTATGCATTCCTCAAATTTTCAATCTGAAATTGATTTAATCTTTATACCAATATTTTCTCAAAGCAACACAAGCCCTTTATGAGTTCACTGAAGCCCACAAAGTACTTGTGAGCATTGCAACTGGACCATTATATCATTTCCTTCCGTATTAAATGTACCGTAGATTTGTACCGTATCATATTCAGAAGGAAAGGGTTGACACAAAGGCGAGTGTTTCCCTCACTTACATTGTAGGCCCAATTTCATGGAGCTGTTAATCGGAAAATATTCCTCGCCAATTCTAGCAAAAATCACCCGGAGAAACCAATCACAAACTACAATTCACATAACATTTGCACAGGTTATTTTCTTTTGCTAAGAAAACTGTTTCTTTGTTAAGAAACTGTTCAGTGCTTTGTCAAGAAATGGCCCTGTTTAATTACATTAATAACTCTCTTTTTTTAACCCTAAAGGAAATCTGATTTATTTCCTTTTCTGAAAAAGGACAGACCAGACAACTGGAAACTTGAAATGAAATCTCATACAATGCATGTATGTATTTCCCTTTGACTTGTTGGCCCACCTACGTGTATTTCCAGGAAGGCCAGTCAGATAGACCCTGTATGGTGTTTGGTGAATGAAGAATTCTGAGGTGCTTTTTATGACACTGGCCCCACTGGGTTTGTCTAGACAGAGGTCAAGATACAAATAGTGTACTGTCTGTGACACATTTCTACTACATGTACATGTAGGCAACCGGTTTGGGTCTGACAGGCGCCCCTTCCTCCAGGTGCAGAAACTCCTTTCTTTTTTCTTTAGTCATAAACCTCAAGTTTTATAACCTTTTTCTTTATTGTTCAAGTTTTTGGTGATTACTAAGTGAAAATAACAGTATTGATGATGGTTGTGTGGTGAAGGTGGTACTGTGATGTTGAACATGCAAGCTGTTATTATGATGGTGATAATGATGATAACGGGAGACTGTGAAGACAATGGTTCTTACATTGTATGACGAACCATCTAATCTTCATTCCATCAAAAAGTAGGCCTACAGCCTTGTTTTTTTTTTCAAATTTGTGTTATTGCCAAATTCTGCACAATGTTAAAGAACAATCAGGATATTTTACTCATAATACATGTACACTGTCAGTCAATTGTAAGATGGACCCCACGACCCCCTCCCCCTCCCCGGCATGGTGCATCAAGAGTGTGTCATGCTCCTTATGGTTGTAGAGCATCAAGAGGTTGAAGTACCGGTACATCAAGAGTGTGTCAATTGCTCTTCATGGTTGTACATGTGCATACCGGTACATGTAATAATAATGTACACAGGTACACCAGTCCCATGTAATGCCAAAGTCAACAACCACATGTCACATGTAAACGTCACTGCATTTGTGTTGAGTATTTGGTTCATGTCCATACACATGTATGTATGTCACTCCACAGTTAACCATGATTACCCCAGCCAGATGCGTCTTCCCCAGACAATACCACACCACACCAGACTGCAAGTGAATGGGGCTGTCAATCAACCCATCTGACAGATGCTTAGTGCTTTGTTTTGGGTCCTAAGGACACTAGGGTCAAGTCAGGTCATGTTGTGGTGTCATGTACTCCTGTAGTGTGAATGAAACTGGGGCATCACTTGATACTGATAGCACTGTGTGTATATTAGAGCAAGGAATGTTTCAATGTTATTTTTTAGGGCTGTTTGATCATTGTTCTTTTTGGGGTTGACAATCGCTGCCTTTTTTGCATGCACAGTTCTTACCAGAGCAGACAAGGGACCATCATGTACACGTACACGTACACGTATGTACATCTACAATGTGCATTATGTACCTTCAATTAAGCCAACATATTGTTCAAACTGAAAATGGTTAATTGTGGGAATATACCGGTACCGGTACATGCATGCAGTCTTGTACTAGTTACATGAAACTTTGTTTAGATGAAATGCACATTAACTTTTTTATTTTAATTTAATTTTTTTAACGCAATTAACAAAATATGTACATTTGTACATGTATGCACACTCATGCTACTTACAGTAGTACGGTGCATGTACATGTACATGTACCTGTGGGGATTTCAAAGGTTAAATAAATTCTCAACAATGGTTTTTCCCACACGGTTTATTGAGATATTTCACCCCTTTCTGTCTCATGACCCCACCTTCCTTACTGGGACACTGGACCAACAGGTATGTATACATGTACGTATGTACATCGTGCCTACATTTCATGTACCAGTACATCAATTGTAGGATAGTCAATTTCACACTTGGTCAGTACCAAGATGAATGTTAAGTGTGCCAGGCAATATTCTTGGGTCTCATCAGTGGCAATAACTGTCACATCGCTCTGTCAATGTCGTGATTCATCTCCATTAAGGAAAAAAGCCAATGAGAAATATGAAACTGTCCATAGGTGAAAATAACCTGGGCTGATGGGTTACATCTCAAGAAGGTCTTCATGAGGAGGAAATACATGTACACAGGGAGGCAACCTGAAGGAAATCCACATGTACCGGTATTACAAAATGTACATAAAGTACCGGTATGTGTACATTGTATAACATGTATACATGTATGACGTACATATACATGTACGTGTGTCTACATGTAATTACTCTAGAACAATGGGTTTGCATTGCTTTCTGTACACGTTACACACTCCTTTCCCCACTATACACATTTTTTGTACATTTGTACATGTATTTTCTGTATTTTCTTTACAATTACATACTATGTACACGTACATTTGCATTTTGATAGAACTTTGTATATTTTTAATTAATTTAGGCCTATTATATGTTAGTGTTTTTAAGAATGTTCAGACAAGTATAATAGGCCTACAACATACATGTATACCGTACATTTTTATGGAAACTGCACATTCCCTTATGAATCTACAAAATATAAAACCATACAGTGTTGGTATAATTTGGGGCGGTACAAGGAGAAACAGGGACTAAGGGACTAATGGGTTACACTTAACAGACTGAAAAATAAACAATGTAAACATGTTCACCTTTGCCATGCCCTCCCCTCCCCTCCCCTCCCCTCCAAATACACAGCACTTAGTACCTGTGCACGTTAGAGGTATCAAACACTCAGATTGGTTTTTTTTACAACAAATTTGGATTAAAGTCCTTCATACATTGTTTGCAAGGTGCAAACTGGGCCAATAAGATTACATCAGCCAATTAATTAACTTTAAAAAAAAACTGACTCTTTTATTTAAACCCCTCATGACACTGTTTTTGCTCCAAAATATTCTGTTAAATTATTCCTCTATGGTCAAATATCTCTACTATCGTGTACACTGTATAGTATCCTGCACCTGACACAGTTTTCTCAGTGACAGAGAGTCCAGACATCTGACGTGTCTCACAAGAAACGTCCCGCCGCCAGAGTGGGAGAGAACGAGGCGTGCTTGCCTCACCCAGATGTGACTTAATGTCCTTCCTTGTTGTACAAGGTACTTGGTTATTTATGAGATTGGCTCGTTAGGCCTCTGACTCACGGCCCATTCACTCAATCATGTTCTTGGCTAAACTGTTAGCCATGCAAAACGTTAAATGTAGATTTCTTCATTTTGATGTCAACTCATTAAAACTGATTATTACCTATTTTACATAATTTGCACTGTGCACAAACATAAGAATGGACAATTGTACTACCCGGTACATGTATACGTACATTATACAGTACAGGTACACATACACGTACTCTACACATGTATGGGATATGGTGCAGTATACGGGGACATGTCCATAATGTCTTCAACATTTAGAGGATTCTTTAGAAGATTTAATTTAGAGGATAATTACATTTTATCCAATTTCAAGGGTGACATTTTGAAATACATGTTTTGTGTACACTTTAACACAAACATGTACACCCATGTACACCCATACAAAATCCCTCTCTTTACATGATGCATGTCCATGTACACAAATGTGACAAGTTTGTGTTTGAAATGACTTAGGCTGGAAACCAACCCAAACCAGTGTTAACTACACATGTGCATACATGTACATGTACATGTTCATGTACCTGTACCAGTGTGTGTGCATACTGTACATGTACATGCACAGTGTACATGTACATGCACAGTGTACATGTACATGTGTAAGGAAACAGCTTGCCACTGAAAGGACACCAAGTCCATAATTATTTCAAAGCGTTATCATTAATTATTCAAGCATGAAGTTCCTTCTCTGCTTTATTATGCATCCCATATGGGAAAAGCTTCACTTCATGCATGAGTACTTATTCAAAGTGCTTAACATGTCTGTACAGGAACGTAAAGTTTATGGTACTGCATACATGTACATACACGTAACATGTACCAGTCCATTCTCCCTGATATATGTGCTAATGGTACTGTACCACCCTCCAACTACATGTACATTTGTAATCTTATTTTTAATTGATCCTGACTTGGTTAGTGGCAAGTATCTCATTACTTTGCCTTAGAAACTCATCTCTCATTTGGTATCAATAAATATTCTGAATGCTGGCCTTTTCATTCATTTATTACCTCCGCCAAGGAGGTTATGTTTTTATCGGATTTGAATAGTTTGTTGGTTGGTTGGATGGTTGGTTTGTCTGTTAACAACATTTACCGGTGTAACTCAAAAAGTTATGGACGGATTTGCAGGAAAATTTGTTTAGGGGTGGTCCTTGGTACCAGTAGAAAACGATTAGATTTTGGAAGTGATCCGCATCTGGGTCTGGA